GAATGAACCCAAAATTATCTTTAATATATTTTATTAAACAAATGGAGAAAATCTAATTAATAATTCAAAAGCAATAACTCCAAAACTCAACCAATCAACAACTTAAGTAATCTTTGGAGACATATATTAATATTAATACAACGATTTTAAAATTAAATTAATTCATTAGAAATTTTGGTAAATCAATATACTCCTCTCATTAATAGTTTCTCAACGTCTTAAATTTCTTAACGTTAATAATCAAAACCGTGATGAAGTAGTTAGTGATGATGAGGATGACGATCTTGATCAGGTATATTTTTATAATGAAATTTAAATCTAAAAATTTTTGAACCAGTAGATTTTGGTTTTTATTATTATAAAAATTTTTAATTGAAATAATCTTATTTTTAAGGACTTTCCCGGGTTAAACCCGAACAGAATTTTTGGCGGAAGGCGTGGCGGTGGACGAGGTCGTCGTGCTGGTGGTGGTGGACGTGGTGGTCGTCGTGGTGGTGGACGAGGAGGGAGGAGGATCGTTAATAATGGTGCTAGGGTTGAAAATTCAGATATACAGGTTTTCGATTTTTTGTTTGAAATATTTATTACTTACGAATTTGGAATAAATCGGGGTTTGAATCTGTCCTTTAAATAATGGGTTAAGTGGGCAAAATTTCCCAATTTACATTTTTTGACAAATAACAATTTTAATGTGGCTTATTTTAAATTTTAAAAGGACGAGTTGGCAGACCATCCCATCATTTAAAGGACAGATTCAAACCCCGATTTATTCCAAATTCGTAAGTAATAAATATTTCAAACAAAAAATCGAAAACCTGTATATCTGAATTTTCAACCCTAGCACCATTATTAACGATCCTCCTCCCTCCTCGTCCACCACCACGACGACCACCACGCCCACCACCACCAGCACGACGACCTCGTCCACCGCCACGCCTTCCGCCAAAAATTCTGTTCGGGTTTAACCCGGGAAAGTCCTTAAAAATAAGATTATTTCAATTAAAAATTTTTATAATAATAAAAACCAAAATCTACTGGTTCAAAAATTTTTAGATTTAAATTTCATTATAAAAATATACCTGATCAAGATCGTCATCCTCATCATCACTAACTACTTCATCACGGTTTTGATTATTAACGTTAAGAAATTTAAGACGTTGAGAAACTATTAATGAGAGGAGTATATTGATTTACCAAAATTTCTAATGAATTAATTTAATTTTAAAATCGTTGTATTAATATTAATATATGTCTCCAAAGATTACTTAAGTTGTTAATTGGTTGAGTTTTGGAGTTATTACTTTTGAATTATTAATTAGATTTTCTCTATTGTTTAATAAAATATATTAAAGATAATTTTGGGTTCATTCTCAAAAAAATGTGAACAATATATAACAACTAATCCACCCACATTTTTAATTTTAAAAGAAAAAACTCTTAAAAACAAACCTGTAGAAAAGAGAAAAATATATTTGAATTTAAAATAAATCCAGAAATAATGATAGATTGAACAATCTATTTTTTGTTGACAACGTTTCATTAATTACCGCAAATTAGCTTAAAAAAATAATTTTCCGCCGTTGTAATTTTAATATAAATATATTTTTAGAAACGGAGTTTATTTAAATAATTTTAAATATACATATTTATATATAAATTGATTTTAAAGGATTTTTACCTTTGACCTAGTCTTATAATCTTCTGGTTCTGATTTCTTAAAAAAATTTTTTTTCTGTTCCGGATAGCCGAATAATAATTTGAATAAATAATTCAATAACCGATAACTCTACCTAATTTTTTTGATTTTTAATAAGATTCCAAAAAAGTTGTTTAAAACTTCCCAAAATTATATTTAAATTTCGAGGGCTTAATTTTATTTTTGACTCTTGTAATTATTTTGTTAATATAAATAATTAAATTTATTAACATGTTTTTTCCATTTAAATAATTTTTTACTAAAAGAGCTGTGGATATTTCTGAATCAATATAAATATATTTTTTTAAATCCCTCTCTCTTTTAGGATTAATTTTTTTTATTTAAAAAACACTCATGTATTTAATTATTTTAAAAATAATTTTCTCTTCTTTTTAAAATCCCTCCCTTTTCTCTCTCAATAAAAAATGTAAAAAAGAAGTCAAAAGCCTCTGAAAATTCAACAAAAAATTTAATTTTTCCTAAAAAATTTATGGGCTGTGCATTTAGCAGCACTCAAATATTTTTGGTTGATTCATCAAAACAAATTGAAAAGAAAGGAGGAAATAACAACAATACGAAAAATAATAATAATTTTGTTCGTTCTCTTATTTTTCACGCGCGGCAAGGCTTCTCTTTTTAAATTTTTTTTAATTTTAAAATTTAATTCTCTTTTGTGGAAAAAAATTAAATTTAAAATGGCTAGCTTTAAGCTTTCACCTGTCTCTGAGCTAAGATTTCTCCTTTAAATGACTCGATATATACAATTAGGATTGTTCCCCGTCCACAAAAGTCGGGGAATTTGAGAGTTTTTTAACGTCGAAGGCGTCAACGCCTACTCAAAAATCTCCCCCGTGGCCCCCCGTCAGGGTTCAACCCTGTATTTTTCCAAGTTATTCACGAAAAACTGGGGGAAAAACTAATTTTAGGGCAAGACAACTAAATAATTTAAAAAATTTAACCACCCCTGTAACACATCCAACCTACAACCTAAACCTATCAGTCATCCATCTTGCTGTATTTACAGCCAATTTTTCATTTCTTGTGGTTTTTTTGTATTTTTTATTTTTTCGCCCGTAACTAGTTAATGACAAGCCCAATAAAACAAAAAAAATTTTTTCCTCAAAAAAAAAACAAAAAATTTAATAGGCTTTAACCGTTCCGGAACAACAACAATAATCGGCGGAAATGGAGGCGGTGCTGCCCTTTTACTTGCCTCAAAATATGGGAAAGATGTTATTTTAGTTGGCCAGATTAAATCGAATGGATGCCGTCGAAGGCCTAGCAGTGAAGCTAAATTTATTGAACAAAGAAGAAAATTGTCTAGTAATATTTCTGTAAATAAAGAAGGAAATAATAATTCAAAAAATTTGTTTCAGAAGTGAGTTGGAAAAAATATCATTTAAAATTGGATAGAAGACACCTCCCTCAACTTAACCGCCCTGTCAAATGCAACCACCCACAGAAGAATGGTCACTTTAGTGTAGTGGGATAATTTTTGATTTGTGAGGGAGAATAGAAACTGGTTCGATACCTTTTGATGGGAGACAATTTCATAAAGATAAGTTGAGGTGTCTAATTTTTTCTGAAATATCTTCGGAATGTTTAATATCCTAGCCAATAAACCAATAAAATAATTTTTTAAGCCAATAAAACCGCCCAAGAAAGTGCCGTTTTAGCCACTTTGGTGTAGTGGGATAATTTTTAATTTATTGGGGAAACTGGAAGAAGGTTCGATCCCGTTCGATGGAAAATAATTTTATAATAAAAAGTTGAAGTGTCTAATATATTCGGGATGGATCCGGAAAAAATTTTTCCGGTCCGGAATTTTTTTCTGGATCCGGAATACTTATTTTTACAATTTCCGGAATGCTCCAAAGAAAATCCATCCCAACTCTATTTTAACTAGAGTTCGAACCCGGGCCGGGCCCGGACCGGTTTTTTCCGGGCCCGGTGGCCCGGAACCGGGTATTTTTAAGAAAATCCGGTTTTTCCGGGCTAACCGGTTTTTCCGGTTTTACCCGGAAAAACCGGCCCGGGTGCGATTTTGAGTAAAAAAACCGGGTCCCGGGCCCGGTAATTTTTTGCCGGGCCCGGAGTGGGAGTTTTGGAATGGAAGTTTGGCTGAAAATGGAAGTTTTGGCTTAAGGATCTCCCAAAATTTTCAAAATTTTTGCCTGCGGCGCTGGAAAGTAAGAAATCTAACGGATTGCAGTGATGTCAAAGTTCCAGTTCCGGAACTAAAACTACTGAACTAACGATTATGTGGAACTAGTTTGGAACTAGAACACGGAACTAGTAAATGCCTGGAACTAGCTTTGGAACTAGTTCTTGGGGGTATATTTTTGACAAAATTTCCTCGACGACGTTTATGGTATTTATAATATTGTTGTAAATTACCTGCAGCGTGTTGAAAATGGAAGAAATTTGGCTGCTTGAGCGCGTTGAAATGTGAATTTTTTTGGCCTACGACCTTAGAAATTCTTAAAATTTTCGCCTGCGGCGCTGAAAAAGTGAATTTTTCTGGCCTACGACCTTAGAAATTCTCAGAATTTCCGCCTGCGGCGCTGAAAAAGAAAGAAATCTGGTGAATTGGTCTTCCAAAATTCTCAAATTTTCGCCTGCGGCGCTGAAAATCCGGATTTTTGGCCTCTTAATCCTCCAGTTTATGCTCCACTCTCCTTAAATCCCCCGATATCACTGAAAATCCTCTTATAACCCAGATCACTACAAATATCGCCAGATATCTCTATTATGTGAAAACCCAGAAATCCCGCAGGATCCCGCTAAATTTTAGAACGGGATTATCTGGATTACGGGTGGTTTCTAGTGGGTTGGTTTTCTATAATCCTCAAAATTTTCGCCTGCGGCGCTGGATAAGGAAAAATATGGGGATATTGGATGATTTGCTACTTTTAAATCCACCTTAATCACACGGTAACCCTCCACTGCCCTTTTATCCCTTCATATCATTCCTAATCCCGTTATACTTCCAGACATCGAGGTTTTAACTGAAGATACTTCTTTACATTGTTATCACCATAATTCCCCCTATATCCTTTTCATTCTCCAAAATCTCTCGTTATATCGTGTTAACCAACTAAATCCATCTGCCTTACACTAATAAAGATATATGTAGTCGGGATATCACGGGTATCATTGGGTATGTAGATAACCGGTTTTTCCTAACCGGTTTTTCCGGTTTTATCCGGAAAAACCGGTCCGGGTGCGATTTTGAGAAAAAAAACCGGGTCCCGGGCCCGGCATTTTGAAAAGTTCGAACTCTAATTTTAACTAATTAAAAAAATTTTTTCTCAAGGATAAATCGTTTAGCTGATCCAACTACTTATGTTGGGGATACTGCTCCAATTTCTGGACCTATTGACTTTCAAAAACGTTTACAAAATTTAAAAATTAAAAGAAATGAAGAAATTACCGATGAAAATAAAATCGAAAAAAATGAAGAATTTAAAACGGAGAAAAATGAAATTTCTCCAAAAGAGCGTTTAAAGAGCCTTGCAGGCAAGTAAAAATATTTTGATTAAATTATAAAATTATAATTTTAATTTTAGTAGAAGAAAAAGAATTTATAATGCATAGAGCTGAACAGGAGTCGATTATTACTGACGGGTAAATTTAAAAAGAAAATATTTGCTTTGTGACTGCAGTGGTTTATTGGTTTAGGTGTCGGTTGGGGAGTTAGAGGGGTCCCGGGTTCGAACCCTTTTGTTGGTGATATGGTTTTTTGGGTTCTCTAGAATCGGATTATTGACTAACACGGCCGATTTTTTGTCCTGGTTTTTTATAAAAATTTTTTATCTTTGGTTTTTTAGTTAAATATCGTGTTTTATTTGAGGGGAATCTGATAAAAATCATTAATTTTCTAAATTATAATTTTTTATTTTTTCGTGAAGCCTGGGGCTAATTTTTATCGGTTAAAATTATTTTTTAAATTTATTTTAAAGAGGATTAGACCATCAAAATACAGAATGGGATACTTTAAGCAATACAACATTAAGTGCCGATTGTTGTAGTCAAATTGGGGGAAGAATAGGGTTACAACAACAATTGCATGATGGGGATGTTAGTGAAGCTAGCTTTGTTTTGGTTAAAAGAAAATTAAAAGTAAAAAAAATTTCGATTATAAATACGCAGAGAAAATCAGTACCTTATAATGAGGTGTATCTTAAATGGAAGGTATCGCTTGGACAACTCCCCCATCCAATGGGCAACCAAATTTAAATGGGTCGTCCCTTACTCCTCCCCCCCCCCCCAATATTGGGGGTATCTTATAGCGAGAGGTTTTTTAGCGGAAGGTTTACCCTCTATTTAAGAGACAGCTTATTATAAGATACGAGATTTTTCTGTCTCAAAGAAGCACTCTATAATGAGATCCAAAAAATTTTTTCCTTTCCAGATTGCTTGGGAGCATCACCAAATCCGTCAAATACGCAAACAAAGCTTATTAAGAAAAGAAAGAATAACAGAAAATAATTGCTGTGATAATATGCTACAAACACCTCAACAAATAAAAAATATTGAAAGAAGATTAAGTAATAATTGGATACCCGAAATTACTAAATTAAATGATGAAAATTAAAATTTATTAAAAAAAGAGAATGTGTTAAAATAATCCTGTTGTCAATAGAGAGATGATTAGCCATTAAGAGACATGAAAAGGACCGGAGTTTTGAAAATCCACAACTGGGAAATGGAAAACTATAATAAGTGACCGGCCGAGTAACGTAACAAAGAAAAGCCGGGAATTGCCGATTCCGGGTCAAATCCTGCCGCAACTTAAAAAACCAGTGAAATGACCGAAAAGCTGAGAGAAAAGGTCCTGTTTCTTTAATAGTCATATAATTGCCAGAATAGAGAGATTATTAATACGGTTCCTGGAAATTCTTCGGATATCCGAAACCGAACCGAAGAATCTAACCGAAAATCCTCGGTTCTTTAGTTCGGTCCAGAATCGATAAACGAAAAAAAATTTCTTTTTTTAAGTTAAATCAGTCCAATTGATCTTTGTTTTTCAAGAAAATTTTCAGAAAAATTTTAAAAATTTTTCTGAAAATTTTCACCAAACTACAAAATTTATTTTCGTTCTTTCAAAGAATTCTTGAGAGAACTCGAAACGAATTAAAAATTAATATAATTTTAAAAATTCCTTTAAAAAAAGTTATTTTTAAAAGAATTTTAAATAAATTTGACAGGTGTTAATAAATATTTAAAAAATTTTTTATAAATTTTTTTACCATATTTAACCCACAAAAAAACTTTTTTAATATTAAAAAAGGGAATTTTTTTCTGTTATTTTCACTCAACTTTTTTTTCAAAAAAATTAAAAAAAAAATAATTGGGTCTATCCAATTAATTATTATTAAAGGGAAGGGAGGCGTTACAAAAATGAAAAAAAATAAAAATAAATTGGGTTCAAAAATTTATTTTCCTGAAAAATAAAATTTTTATTTTTCTAACAGAAAATTAATTTTAGCAAAAAAGACGAAAATGTATTTTTATTTTTTATTTTTTCTGATGTCATTTTTGGAAGGAGAAGCTGTCGAAAATTTATATTTTTATGATGAGTGGGTTTTTAAGTTAATTTTTAATAAATTAATGATTGATGACTCCTTTTCTCTCCTAAAAATTAAAAAATGGTCATCAGGAACAGAGCGAAAAAGCAACGATTTTTTGTTTGGTTCTTTAATTTTTTATTAGACAAACCTGGGTTCGGCACCTTTTGGTATACGGGACCTAACCCGTCCCTTGGGGTATTACCGTACACCCCTAGCTCCCCTTTGGGGTGTACGGTAACATCGATAATTAGGGTTAGTTCCTAGGTTTATTTTATACGACAAACGTGGCTTCGGTTCTTTTTGTCCGGTTCTTCCGGAGAGACTACTAAAAGTGAGAGGTATATAATTATGATTGTCGATTCGGAACCGACTTGAACCTCCCTTTAGGGTTGGAAATTTAATCTTATAATGAGGTTAGATTAAGTAAAGGTATTGTAAATTGTAGGGAACGTTATGAGCAGGGTTGTCAGTTCTGGGCCGAACTGAAGAACTGAGGATTTTTCGGGTTGGTTTCGGATATCCGAAGAATTTCCAGAAACCGATAACCCTAGTTATGAGCCTTAATTGCTTTAAACAGTTCAATCCTCTCTGCAATAAAAATCCCTTTTTAAACAGGTTCTCGGATCTGCCCTTAAGCCGTCTTCCCCAACTTGAAAAATCATTGGATTTAGCAACAGAACTTTTAAATGAAGGTAAGATAAGATACCCTTTCTTTTAACCAAAAAAAAATTTTTTTTCAAAGAAAAGCGTAGCAGCACCATCAATGGACGTTCACTAACCGACAACAACAATCCTTTACTTATTCGATTAGTTTCAAATTCTTTAATTAAAAAATTTGGGGGAATAAAAACAAAAAATGATGTTCGTGTCCGTCTATTCAATTCCCCCACAAAACCCAAATCCACAAATTATCGACTCGTTCGAATATCTGAGGACCAAAACAGACAAGAAAAGGGGGAGAATATGCCTAGTTTAAATAGAAATATTGCAAATCCTTTGTTGAGGCAATTGTGGACTTGAAGACAAAGGAAAGAGGAAAAAAAGGAAAATTTTAAAAATGTAAAAAATTTAATTTTTGGTTCTTAAGGAATTGAATGTTTAATTTTGAAACAGATAAAGTGAAAAGAATTTTAAATTTAGAATTTTTTAGAAAAAATATTTTATTGTGGCATAATGTTACATTTTATGGTATACGATAACATTCATTTTTCAAATAGCAATAATTAGGGCACGGGACGGGATTTTACGGGATCCCGTCCGGAAATCCCGGGTTTTGCGCTGAAAATGGCATTATTGGGATTTACGGGATTAATCCCGCGGGATCCCGTCCCGTACAAAATGTTGAAAAAAAGATCGCAGGTCGCCGATTTTTGTTATCGCCTGTTTTCAACCACCGGTTTTCGGTTCCGGTTCGATTAACCGTTTGTTTCAAATCCTAATAAATATACAATATCCAACATTTTTACACAATAAATACAAATCACAACACAAATACAATACAAATAATCACAACAAAACAAAATTACTCATTAACTCTTCTAATTTCCTAATCAGCCGTTTTCTTAGAACCAATAGGTAAACATAAGACGATCGTTGAATCTTCTTGTGGATTATCTACATCAACCATTTCATACTCCACAACTTTAGGAGATTCTTCTTCATTCTCTTCCTCCACAAAATAAAGTCCACGTTCTTCTTCTTTTACCAGTTCGCCACGCAGTTTCACAAAATTATCTTGGAAATAGAAGCCTCGATATCCGTGAATAACAACGTAATTGTGCAAAAGATCACATCCCCTAGTAAAAATGAATTGTTCCTTATCAACCAGGTAAAAGTAGTTTGTGTGGAATTTAAACGGGGAATCGCCAAAAAATAATTCGAGAATGTCCGGATTGATATAGGCTTGTTCAACTTTGAAGTTTTCAATGAAGCAATGCGAAAGCTTTTCAAGCCAGAAACGAAAAATAAGCATTTCTTCAATTGTTTGTGGATATTGTTGTAATTGAAGTCGAAGAAATTTAGGCGATGTTCCATCTAGAAATGAAAAAAGTTAGTTGAGAGAAAGCTTCAAAAGTTTCACTTGTGTTGTTTCCCTCCCCTATCCAATTTTTTCCCACAATGCACGAAATGGGCAGTCATTTCTTTGTTTACTTTCACAAACTTTCTCTGTAGCATGATTCAATCAGTGCGAGATAAGTGAACAAAAAACATCAAAAAAATGACTGACCATTTTGTACATTATAGAAAATTGGGTATGGAAGGGAAACAACACAAACACCCTAAAGTTCACTTGTTTCTCCTGATTCAAACAGCAAATTCCCAATTTCATTTGTTTTATCGTCTGCGTCAGATTCGTTTTTGTGATCAAGGTAGAAAGGAATCCGTTCTTGAATTGCTGCTTGATACTGAAAAATGAAGAGAATTTTTAAACAAAATAACCCTCAATTGTTTTTACCTTTAATTTATCTTCCTCGCTTACATCCAAGTCCAATTCACTAGGATCACACTCCAGCTCTTTACAAACATCTGTAAAAAACAAAAACTTTATACTCGATTAAAGAGCAAAACCCTTACAATTAGCAACCAATTCAACAGAATAAAACACTTTCCTAGCCAATTCTTTGTTGTATTTGACGATCACTTGACAAAAATGACGATTTGACAGTTGAAAGTTGTTCAATTGGTAAAAGTTGAGGCATTTGAGGATATCAAGTTTTGCTTCGACAGGTAGAAGATTCATTGTTGATTGATGAGAGAAAGATATTTTAAGAAAAACTTTAGCCTTTTATACTGTCTTTACATAAGACTACTGTAGACTATGTAAAGATTTTAGGATTAATTACTATAGGGATATGTAGCAGTTTGCTCAACAAATGAGGAATATCGCAAATCCTTTGTTGAGGCAATTTTGGGCATAAAACGAATAAACTGTACCATTTTCCCCTAGTACCATTTTGTCTCTTTTTTGACTCCGTACCATTCTGTCTGTTTTTATCAATGGTACCATTTTGTCTTTTTTACCCATAGTACCATTTTGTCAATATTTACTTCTAGGTACCATTTTGTCGATTCTCAGCCGTAGAATCCTTTTGTCTCTTTTATCTTGCGTACCATTCTGTCTGTTCTTGTCTCGGTACCATTTTGTTCAGTTCTATTTTGTCGGGACATAGTAATTAATTAAAGAGACTACACAAAAACAAGAGAGACAGAGAAATAGTAGACGAATTAATTGTTTTCACTGACGATCAATAGGAAATCGATCTGTAGGGTTTTTATTTGGTGTTCTTTAATATTTTTATTTTTTAGAGGTTAATGGCATCTTTTGTCAAATCAACAAAGAATGCCGACAAATTAGTTTTTGAAGGATTTATTTACGTAAAATACAAAAATGGTGCTGCCAACAAGCGTTATTGGAGATGTGAATATTGGCGAAGTTGTAAATGTTATGGTTTTGCTGTAACCAATGCAAATAATGAAGTGACTGTAACAAAACAACACAATCATGGGCCTTCACCAAACAGAATTGAATTGGCTAGAATTAAAGACAGAATTACCCAAGCTGCTATTAATTCTACTTTGTCTCCTAGAGAAATTGTTAATGAACAATTGGCTGGGATTAGTGAACAGGCTAAGGTTTTTTGTTTGATTTTGTGAGGTTTTCTGGGGGTCAGCCCTTCCCGCCGACATTCCTGTCCGTTTATTCGCCAAGGAAACTGAATGAAAAGGGCGACGTTTGACAGTGTTTCGGCTAACTGGGTTGGCCCAGTCTCACCTACGCACGTTTTGAGAACCTTTGAATTATTTCTAAGACCAACTCAGAAGATCAGCTTCCCAAATATCAATGTTTAAGTCCGTTTTTCTTTTACTTTGATTGGTTCGTAAATTGATGTTTTAAGAAGGTGAAACGCGAAATGAAAAACTTTTGTGTGTCTCTGGTCGGTTCCCGTAAGGAAATAAAGGGCAAAAAAGGAGTAATATCGGAAAATTTGAGTTATTATATAGTGTTTAATTTTTAATTTCCAGGCAACACTTCCCAAATTTGTAAATCTCCAAAAAACAGTTGGTCGAAAACGTTATGCTGATGGATATCGAATGCCTTTGCCCAATTCTCTTTCAGAAATTGAAATTCCCGAACAATTGAGGCGAACAAAAACTGAACTTCAAGAAGAATTTATTTTGGTAGATACGGGGCCTGCTGATCCAAATCGAATAATTCTTTTGGGTTCTAGAACGGATGTTGCTAGGTTGGCAGGTTGTGATGTTTGGATTTGTGACGGGACTTTTAAAAATGGTGGAAATGTTCAAACATTATATCAACTTTGGGTATTTTTTTATAATTTTTTTTTTGCTGAAAGTCTGAAGGTTTGAGCTCTAAATAGGAAACCTCCCGAACTGTAAGTCAAAACTTTGTGGTTTTTTGGTACCAAATTATTATAAAAATTTTTGGATTATTTGGTAATTAAAAGATTAATGGGCTTCAAGGTCTGCAAAAATTGGGGCAGAAGAGGAACGCTAGGACGCCTTGCTAGAGTTTATCTGTTAAGTTAGGCAATACTGGGGGAAAATTAGAGAAGAGGGAAAAGGGTCAGAAACGTGTAAGGTTATAGAATGGTCAGCTGATAAGAACAAATTTCCGACAAATTTCGACCTAAAAATATTTAAAAAAATTTCTCTAACTCAATAAATTTTTTTAAAGATAATTTATGGCCGTTTTGGACGTTCTTTTGTTCTTCCATTTATTTATATTTTAATTCCTTCAAAAACAACAGACTTTTATTTGAGATCCATAGAACTTTTACTTGTCAAAATTGATGAAATAACTCCTGGTTCTCGTCCACAAACAATAATTATTGATTTTGAAAAAGTTGAAGAACAAGCTTTAAGAAATGCTTTTCCTTATGCAATAATTCATGGATGTTTCTTTCATTTTAAAGTTTTTTTGAAATTTTTAACAGAAAATTTTTAACATTTAAAGGAATCTATATGGAGAAAAATACAAGAATTTGGTTGGGGATTACAACATCAAGAAGAAGACGGTTTTCTTAAATATTTAAAAATGTTTGTTTGTCTGACTTTTGTTGATCCAGGTTTTTTTTTTAATTTTATTATTTTGTTATTACTTTGGGTTGTTTTGTTTCAAGGACAAAGGGGACTTCTTTGACTTTAAATCCGAATCTAATATTTTTGATATCATTCTATACTGACCCCCCGTTTTCCTTTTGCGATGTGTATATATTCTCTTGCAAAATGATTTTGGATCGAGTTATTTTTCGATTCATATTCCTAACTGTTCGAACCGTCCTAATTTTTAGTGGAAAACTGGGTGGATAAAATTGACCATAAATAATCTTAAAAATCAAAAATCCGTATATGTATGACTAGTATGCTAGTACTGTTATTAAGTCCCGTATCACTTTTACTCGAAATCTTTCGGCTATCTAACCAATCATCGGTTGAATTATGATTAGAATCAAAAATTCATTTCTCCTATCTTTTTTAAGTTTTGTTAAATTTATAGTAACTAACCTTCTATTCTTTCTTTACAGCTTGTGTTCGCGTCTGTTTCCATCGATTAGCTCAAATGTTTCTTGAAGTCTTTAGCAATGGCGATTTGGAAAGTCCACATTTTGCTTTTATTGATTACATGGAAAGGACTTGGGTTGGAAGGGAATTAATGCCTCCAAGATATCCGCCAACAATTTGGAATAATAAAGATATAACAATTGAACAGCTACCGAAATCTTCAAATTCTGTTGAATCTTGGCATAATACTTTTGCTGGAATATTTAATAGACATTCTTCAAATCCTTATAATCTTGTTAGAGCACTTTTGGATAAACAGGTTTTTTTGAAAAAATATTTTTGGGATGTTTTTGGGGGGTCTAGTAGGTAATTCATTCAAATTTTTAAATGAGTGAATTTTCCATTTTTGGGCGTCTTTTGACTAAAAAATATTTTTTGGGAATGATGTGATTTTATTACCTCCTTTTGAATGTTTCTTTTAAATTTTAACAATAAGAGGCGTTTTTTATGTCAACGTGGTTTGGAAGAGGAAATTTAAGAAAAATATTTTTTAACTGTAATTGTTCCTCTCAAAATTGTATTCAAGCCAAAATTTTTTCCCTTTGTTTGTGTAAGAATTGTTCCTTTTTTCTTCCCATCTTCTTTCCGTGTCGGGCTAACTCACGGAACGGACAAGTTACGGAATGACCAAAACATGGAATATTTTAAAAATCGGAATTTTTTGAAAAATCTGAATATTTCAAAAAAATACGAATTTTAAAAACTTAGAATACTTTAAAAAAAGAATTTTAAAAAATTCTAAAAAATTTTGATTTTTTAAATTTTTCGTGTTTTGGTCATTCCGTGAGTTGTCCGTACCGTGATTTCGTTAATTACGTGACTTGTCGTTCCGCGACCTGTCTGTTCCGTGAGTTGGAATTCCTTGAGTTAGCTCCCACCACTTTTTTCTAAAAAAATTTTTTTTATTTTTTTAAAGGCTCGTGTTGATACAATAGCTGTTCGTATATCATCTGGTGCTGTAGTTCAAATGTTTAGTCGACCTGAATATCGACGGGATAATCAAAATTTATTGAATGTTTTAAGAGGTGTTGGGGGGCCTAGAGATCCTATTGAATTTTTGACGGCTTGTTCGAATTTTATTAATTTTTAATTGAAAAGATTTTTTTTATTTTTAACGAATTATTTCTATAGCTAATTTTGTATTTTTTTAATTTTTTAAATGTACTGGTCCTTTTTTTCTCAAATAAATATTGTGTCTTTTTATTTTTAAAAATGATCACAACTTTATTAAATTAACAGATTATTTATCTGTTTAATATTTTTTGTTTAAAAATTTTTAAAAATTAATTCTGTTTTTTAAGGAATGGCAGAATTTGTAGAAAAATCATTGGAAGAATTGCTTCCAGTCTTTGAACAACTCAAATTGGTTCAATTATTTTCTCCTGAGGAAGTTTGCGATTTTATTAAGAATTGTCGTGATTATGAGTACAAATTGTGCAAACAGGTTTTTTGTTAATAAAATATTGGAGGAGGAGACGGAATTTAACTTAGGGATTTCGGAGAGAATGTAGGAAAGTGGATTTTACAATGGAACGTGGGGTTACTTTTAAGGGGACGCGCTCAACTAGGCGTGCGGCCATAACGTCGCAAAGCCATAACTTGCTGGAAAATTTCTGGCCCTTATCAATTTTGGTAAGATCTTTTTAGCTCGATGAGAGGAATCGTTTAATACTAAATTTGGTAAGAATTCGAAATCTTGAATCAGGTTATGGTTTTGCGCCTATTTGGATTGTACCCACATTTAAGTTCTATTTAGATGGGACTTAAGTTTTTCTGATCTCGTGATCAATTTTAGGTAAAGATTTCTGTCCGTTCTCTACATAATTCCACTTATAGTTTACGGGAAATTTAATTTTGCGCGATCACATTATTTAATCAAAACCCTTTAAATTTTCTTCAATATTTTTCCTTTAAAATTTTACTTTTCAATAGACTAAAGTTGCCAAAGACTTTTTGGCATATGCAGCATATTTAGAAGAAAAATTGGATTTAATTGTTGAACGACGAAAAGAATTAAAGTTTTTACATCGATATGATCAAATTGATAGACCATTAAAGCATAAATGTGCTCATCTTTATCGAATATGTGCTGCTAGATTTAAGGTTTTTTTTTTATTTTTTTGTCCTTTTTTTATTAAAGTTAACGAGAGTAGTCGAAATACCACATTTTCCTTATAGGTATTGACCGGACTGTCTTGGTTTCGATTTGATAACTGAGATTGTTGTTTGGGTTTTGTCTTGATCCGGCTTCTGGTTTCATATAAGCGCCACTTTATCACTTTATGCCGAAACTCTGAAATTTTGTATTTCGACAGCTCCCAGTGAGATACCTCAAATACTCTAATACCAAAATCTTTTAGAAATTTAGTTTCGATAAAGTTATTAGAGACATTTGTTAGACCTGATCCTGTTGGAGAATTTTATAATCTCATTACAAATTTAAAAAAAAATTTTTAGAAAATGGAATATCATAATAAAGAAATTGCTTTTCTACACAATGCAAAAATGCGCAAATTATGCAGTCGGGCTTATACTCGTTTACTTCAAGTAATTTTTAAACTAAAAAATCATCCTGTCTCAATTTCAGATTTATGCCCATTTACCTGAAAATCATGTGAGAGCTGCTCGCTTTGAATTTTTTGATAATAAAAGTGCAGAAAATGCTCGAACATTAATTTTGATGGGTTTGAGGAAATTTCCACAATATGTTCCTCTTTGGGTGACACATTTTGAAATTGAATTACGTTATGTGGCAAGGTTTTTAGATTTTAATTTTTAAAATTTTTTTGGCTTTTTTTCTTTGAAAAATAATGAAAGTGGGAAAATTTTTTGTATTTTCTGAAATTATGGAAAATTTCCAAAAAAAATTCCAAAAAAGAATTTTGTTTTATTTTTTAGATTACTTGAACGACGAGAATTTTTAATGAAAACGGACGATCGTAGCAACCATCTACATTCTAAAAATAATGAAGAGATTAAAAAATCATTTGATCCTATCAATACTGGAGATGATGAATTTTTAAAATTGAGTCTTGCAAAAGTTGTTTTTGAAATGGCTGTTAAAACAATTCGTGAAAGGGGACATAAAGCAGGTTTTGATTTTTTTTAATTATTTTTTGAGCTAGTTCGCTAGAAAAAACCAAAATTCCAAGTGAAACTGACTTTTTTTTAAATGGTTTTGCATTTTTATGTAAATAGAAATAAGAAAGCTTATCATTAGGGTTGTCGACGCTGTCCGAAAAATTGAGTCGGCCATCGAATTTTGGCCCGAAAAAGACTCGGTCGGGCTGGCCCGATGAAAACGAGGCCCAAAAAATGACTCGAAAAAATGCAGTTCGACTCGAAACGGCAACCCTGGTTATCATCGTCATGTCTTGCGACGTAATATTTTTCAGGGTCCGAATATCCGATGCCCTTCAGCTTGGTTTTTTGGCCAAGTCTGTGGAACTTTTTGGCCCCTTAAAAGTTAACATTTTTCAATTTAAATTAATTTAGGATTAATTCGTCAATTCATTAAAATAGCTGAAGATTGTGGTGAATTTACAAAAGATTTGGTTGCAAGTATGCGTGAATATATGAGTATTTATGGACTTGAATTGGAAGAAGAAATTGATCAAATGGAGGTTTTTTGAATTTTTTAAAATTAGAAAAAAAATTTTTTAATTTTAAAGGTTCCAAATGAAGATTTATTTGAAATTGACACAAAAAGAATGGGAAGTGATGAAATAAAAAAAGAAGAAGAAAATATAGTTAAAGTTGAAAGGAAAAGTGTTTTGGATGGTTTTAATCCTGATGATCCGGAAATTAAAAAGGTTTTTTATATAATGGTTGAATAAAATTTTAAAAATATTTTTTAGTTACTTGAAAAGGCTTCACTTACAGAAGTAGGTTTTTTTAAAATTATAAATTTTTTCTTATTTTTTGAGAGAAAATTTTCAGAATTTTTATTAAAAAATATTAGTATTTTTTGTGTTTTCCCGTACGGGATCTTGTTTTGAAATCCCGTATTTTAAGCAAAGAACGAGATTATGGGATTAATCCCACGGGATCCTGTCCCGTAAAAAATTCTGAAACGAATCTCGTTACGGGATCCCGGGAATGATTTTTCCGCACTTTAGTTTCTTCTTGTTTTTCTCCATGTTGTATTGGATTTTTTTAGTGTAGTGTATTTTTGAACCTATGTCTAATAGGCATAGGTTCGAATCCACACTGGGAAAATAATTTTGTTTTATTGTAAGATACTTGAACGGATTATTTTTTAATAATTTAATTTTTAATTGAAAAAAAATTTTTTTTTCAAAGGATTATGATTCAAAACCTTTGGATGAAGTATTAAAACGTTCAAAAACACAAGAGAAAAAAATGAGAAAATCTCAGAATTCCCAAACAGCAGGGGAAAGTTGGTTTGGATTGCCTGCTTCTGAAATGGATGAAGAAAAACGGAGAGATTTGGAATTGATACAAATGAGAAATATATTAGATCCAAAGCAGCATTACAAGAAAAGTGACAGAAATGTTTTGCCAAAATATTTTCAGGTTTTTTTAAATTTATTTTTAAGTGTAAATTAATCTGTAGATTAGTTTTTAATTACCTAACTGGTAACCTCCCTTCATAAGGTCAGACTTCTCTTGGTTTGAGAGGGTCAAACCTGATTATGAGAGGATCAAAGAAGGTCAACCTCCCTTGGTAGGATCCTTCCTTTACACCTTAATTTATTGTTAGACGAATAATCTAATAGAGGTGTTTATCTGACGTCTTAATTCCAAGACTTCCCTCAACTTCCTCATCACCTTAAGCTTCCTTATTTTGTCAACTTTTTATACATAGATCAGCAAATTATTTTTTTCTGAATAATTTTTCTAAATAAGAATCTGGTCTATTTTCGTAATAAAGAGGAATTTGGTTTCTCTTTTTACTTTGTTTTCTCATGGAACCCTGAGGACGAAATTTGAACTTTCTTTTTGTAAAAACCCCTCTCAAAGCGAAAAATTTATTTTTAATTTAAAAAAAAATTTTTTTTCTTTCAAAACAGATTGGTCAAATAGTTGAATCTAGCGCCGATTTCTACTCTGCTCGTTTAAATAAAAAACAACGTAAAAATACTTTGGCAGAAGAATTAATGAATGATCACGAAATTATTGCTAAAAACAAAAAACATTATGCTAAAATTGTTCAAAAAAGAGAAGCAACAAAAGGTGTTGGAGTATTTAAAAAGTCTGGGTATTTACCTAAACATAAAAAGAAGAGACGGAAAAATTTTTAAGTTTTTTTTTTAAATTTAATTTAAATTGTTAATAATTTATATACAAAATTGTTTTAGAAAAAAAATTTTTTTTCCGTCTTAAAAATAATATAATTTGAGTGAAAGATTAAATTTTAGAAAAGTTTATATCCCCACAAAGGGTATTTTTCTTGTGGGGGGTTTTTTTCTTGTGGGAAAAATCTCCTCGAAATTTTTACTTTCGGTTCATTAGCGAATAGCCGAGGATTTTTCGCTTCGATTCCAAATATCTGAAAGGATTTTTAAGAACTAAAATAAGCTTATATTAACGCTGATTGGACTCGTAATTAAAGTCCAACGAAATTTTTTCGATTTTATCGGGAAAATACAAAAAAAAAAATTTTTATTGATAAAATTAATTGATCGAAACCCCTTCCGTCTGTTTTCATTTATATAAAAACACGTATTAAATGGATTTTTTTATTTAATTTATTAGACGTCTATTTATTTCATAAAATTTCAAAAGGGCAAAATTTTGAAATATTTTTTTATTTTTTTTGAAAAATAATTTTTAAAATCGATTAAGTCCTTTTAAGGGTAAAAGAAATATTTTAATTTCAAAATAAAATTTTAAAACACCTAAAATCTATTAAGAAAAATTTTCTTGTGAAATAATTTTTCTCCTTTGTCTTCCCTCATTTTATATTTTTTTATTGTTATTGTCCTTAAACGGCAGCTGTAAAAATAACTAAAAATGATTTTGACGTTTCTGTGAAGAAAAAATTTTTTGAGGAAAAAATCGTTCGCTTCTTTCTGCTACGTTTTTTTCTTAGTTAATTGAATAAATAAATTTGTGAATTTTTAATTAGTTTCTAATTAGTCTAATCTCATTTTTTAGATACTTCCTGAAACTGAAAAAAGTGCCGTATAATGGGCGTCTATTAAATAGAGGGTATATCTTTCTCACCCAATGGCCAACTAACGTCTCTTAAATAGAGGTTATCTAATATTGGGTGGATCTTATAGTGAGGTCCTGTCCTCAATTTAAGAAACATCCCATTATAAGTACGATTTTCTTGTTACATCTTAAAGTAAGCTTCGCCTTACAAACTTAGAAAAAAGATTTTTTTAGATGCCTTAAACCCCCAAATAAAAATTCCTTCTTTTTAAATGATTTTCTCTTATGGACTAATTTTCATCATTTTTATCAACTTTATTAATTCAATTGCTGAAAGAATAAATAATATTCCTTCATTGTTTAGACATAAAAGAGAACAACAATCCCTTACATATCCACCAATTTATCACATTTGTGGAAATTTTCCAAATTTTGTTTATTCTTTATTACGTAAGAAAATCTTTTGAAAATATTTAATCTGAGTTAAATTCCCACCCTCGAGATCACCCTCTAAAGGATCGTGTTGTTCTCCTGGGTGTTTTCCTCTCTACTAATTCTGGTTTGGACCCATTATCCTCATACCCAACAAATTTATAATAAATCTCTCGGACTGACTTCTGCTGACATGAGGGAAGGAGTTGAGGGAGAAGGGAGAGTCGTCACAGAGAGATTCTACTGTATTTTAAAAATATTTTTCTTTCCCAGCCTGTCAAATTTGTCGAAATGGTGGGCGTTCTCTAAACCTACCCTGTACATCCCCAATTCAATGTGTTATTTACTACACACAAGGAGCAACAGAATGTATAGACAGCCAATGTTGCACGGCTGTTTCTTCTTTAGAAACCTTAAATGTTCAGCCCTCAATACATTTTGAACAACAAAATGGACAACAAAATAATTATTTAATTGAAGAACAAACTGAAGGTTTTTAAGGAACGATTTTTTAAATTCCCTTTCAAGGTTATTGCCCAAACAATGAACGTTCCAAGATTCGTTGCAGGTTAGTTTAAGATAATTGAGGCATATTTTGAATCAGTTAATCTCGTCGTGTTTCAAAGGTCAATTACTTAGAGGGCCAACACCTTCAATGTCAATTCTCTCTCTCCCTCTGGTTAATAGTCCCACCCACAGGATCAGAGAATACTCTTGGAAACTAAACTTCCTACATGAGAGAAGTCACTCTAGGGACAGTTCTAGAAATCTGTTGACATTTAATCCACTAGTTGATCTTTGTGTTTTTACGTAAACATCTCCAACTAGAGTTCTAACTTTTGAAAATAATTTTTCTTGCGAAAGGAAAAAATTATCTCATTTCACACGATGAGACGTAAAGAAAAATTTTTCAGTGTTGCAGGCCAATGTTCTCCTTCACAAGAATGTCTAAATGGAATATGCTGCCCACAAAACCCTAACAATTATTTAGGTAGTTTACCTAATTAAGAACTATAAGAAATCTTCTTAAGAGGCTTGTGGAGGTCAAATAGCTATAGAACGTTGTGATTCTGGAACGTGTTCAAACGGATTGGTATGTACCGCCTCTCGATATTGTTGTCAATGTAAAGTTGGACGTTCTGCTGGATATTGTAATATGGTAAGGAAATACAGACTTGGGCATGAACACGGAATTTTAGTATCCGTATCCTGACATATCCGTCTAACTTTTGAGTCATAACCATCCACAGCTATCCGCGGATATAGCCGTTTTTTCTCAAAATGGTCAACATGACAGATATCTGCGCATTTGGGGTACATATCCGGTGATAGCTGCGGGGATCCGGATATTATCCGTATCCAGGACCACGTCTGATAAAATATTTTTTTAATTTCTTTAAAAATTTTTTAGGGTGCTTGCAAACCCGGTTATCAATGTCAAAATGGGTATTGTTGCCCTTCTTGTCCGGATAATACAATGACTTTTGGTGTTTGTACAGCGGGGGATTCTACAAATTATAATCTGCAATATTCAAATGGACAGAGGCAACTGGGCTGTCCCATTGGTAAATTCTTATTTTAAAAGAAAAATTAATCTGAAGAGTCAGACCTCATTAAAATATACACACAACACTAGACACACCTCTATTTGGGATATGGTTTTTAAAAAAAATTTTTGTTGACCACAGGAAGGAGGAGTTGCCCAGATGCCCTTCTATTTAATAAACACCCTCAATATAAGACACCTCCTATTTAGTATACAACTCATTATAAGGCACCCTCCAAGGGGGCATCTTATTTATAATGTACCCCTCTATTTAACAGACACCTTCATTATAAAACCCCTTCTATTTAATAGACAGCTCGTTATAAGGCACCCTCCAAGGGGAATCTCTTATAATGATGTCTGACATGTTTTAAATAAATTTTAAAAAACCTCCTTTTATTAAATTTAAAAAAATTTTTCCAATTTTTAAGGTTACAAATGTTTAACTGGTGATATTTGTTGTAAACAATAAAAAATCCAAAAAACAAGAATTTTATTTGAAATCTTCAATAATTGAAGGCTTTATATGCATTACATTATTTCTGTATTCCATTGTTGATTTTAATCCTTTTCGATTAACCCGGTTAATATCTGCAGGATTTAATGTTATTAATTCTGGTTGAATCTAAAAAAAAATTTATAAAAATTATTTTTTTTTGACAATTAAATGCAGGGAGATAGAGGATTAATGTTATCAATTTTTATTGCATTTTTTTATTACAGGAAGATAGACATTTTGGAAATTTATTTATTTACGTCAAAATGACGCGAGTCACAAATAAATTAAAATAGTTTAAGCAGTTAAACAAGCCCTTTGATTTTGGATTTTCTATAGATAAGTTAAGGGTTTAACCGGTCAGGTGGATTTAATTTTCCCTCCAATCCCCTCTAGATACGCCCTACAAAAAACCAATAAACCCAAAATAAATTTTAAAAAATATTTTTGGCTTCCTAATAGCGGTTCCCCTTTATAAAAAAAATTTCCAAAATTTTATAAAAAAACAAACCTTATCAAGTAACATTTTCACTTCTCTCTCTTTTCTTTGTTGTTTCGATTCAAATGGATTTGCTCGTAACGAATCAAAATTTGCTTGTCCAGCACCGGGTATTAAAAGACTTGACAACCCTAAAGTGTGTCCAACACCCAAAACATCTTCGTAGGGACAAAATTTTAAATCTGTAATTGCTCCTTCACATTTATGCATTAAATAGGGTGTGGTGGATTGACCCAAATGAGGGTTTTTGAGAATCTTAAAAAATATATTGATTAAAAATATTTTTTGATTTTTAATGCTTCTTTCTATCACGTCAACTACTGCAATGATAGTAAAAGAAGGTAGTTCGAGGTTAAATGACCTTACTACGCTGGCAAACCACTTAGTTTTCTTTTTCTAACGGTTTGCAATAATTTAGTGGATACCTCATTTACCATAGTCAAACAACCAGTCATTTGACCGAGTTCTTATATAATGGGCGCTGACGTTAACATGCTAGTACTTGATCAACCAGGAAGTTATTTAATCTTTTAAACCTAAAAGTAAGATCCAAAGTAATAAATTTGGAAGTATATCTCCCTCCCCTACGATAACCTTAAGTATTATTTGAAACAATCCATTCGGAAATATCACAGCTTAATTATGTATAGTTAATCGTGTAAATTAAAAAATTTCCCAAAAAATTTAAAAAAACTTAGAATTCTCACAACAGAATTTCAAAAAAATTTCAAATAAAAAATTATTAAAAAACAAAACCTGTAAATTATTCCCCGAATTAACCGCCAAAAAATTTCGTTGACTAAAAGCAACATGTGAATAATGTACTAAAGGGCCAGAATAAACAGCCAATTCACTATAATTCTTCCTCAAATCCCAAATTCTCAATTTATTGTCCAATCCACTCGTTGCCATATAATTTCCATTTGAATTTATAGAAATACCCAAAATTGGCCCTTTATGTGCAAACATTTCAATTAACGGTTTTTGAACATTTGGTGACCACATTGTTACTAAACCACGGGAATTTCCTCCAACAATTATTGCATTTGACGGATTTTGTGTTAGAACGTGTAGAGCCCCACATTTTGTTGGAAAATTAGCTACCTAGTTAAAAATTTAATTTTAAATTAAATTTGAGGAAAACGAAACTTGTTTGCCAACAGAAACATCTAACCATGTAAGGAATGTGTTTCCACCCTAAAATTTAGAGAAAAATATTAAAAAGAAAAAAAAGGAAAATTTTTTGAATGTAAAAAATAAAAATCAATTTATTCTGAGGAAACAAATCAAGGGACGGCTTAGGGGTTAACCGTAACCCGATCCGAAGAAAATTTTGAAAGCCCGCCCCGAAAATTGACTCTTATTCACGCTCTCGTTTTAAACATTTCCTTCTTTAGCCATAAGCGGGGAAAGCACGCCTGAAATATTGTTAGGCAAATGGCTTTTTCCGGTACCGGTAGTACCGAAAAGTACCTGTCCGGTAATGACTGCAATACCATGGTAGTACCGAGCCGTGCCTACACTCCGTGAAATCCGTATCTTGGATAAATTATCGTTAGACCCGTTTTCGACTATTTTAACGTGTGGTCCGAAAGCTCAAAAGCTTCGATGACATGACTTCTATTAAATAAAAAAATATTATATACCGATCCAACAAGTAAAAAATGCCTAGGCAGAAACTCCAATCTTCTAATATCAAACATCGATTTTATACAATGCAATTCTGTTCCATTTCTGTCATAAATTCTTAACCAACGTTTTTGGGCTACAGCAAACATTGTTTCTGTGTGAAGCCATCTAAGGTTTCATTAAAAATTTAATCAAAAAGTTAAAACTAACTGAATATCCCGAACAGTTTCCATTACATTAATTTCAGTTATTAAATCTTTAGTCATCCAATCGAAAGCAGCTACATGTCCTTTACGTCCACCTAGCAACATATAACGTCCATTTAGAGTGTAGTCAAGATTGTATGGTCCAAAACGAAGATCAAGCGAAAAATGCTTTGAAAGGTGAAAAAATAGTAAACTTTTTGCTTTTAGATTAGAAACAGGACAGGCCAAACCCTCGTGCCATATATGTTCGAAAAATCAATGAGTGGTAGTTAATCGACTTGCCACCACCCAATAGTCGCGATTTTTGAGGACCAGGGATTCTACAAATTTTTCCCCAGTTAGTCAAAATCGTTCAAGGTCGGAGTTGAAATTTGTATCAGAGTCGATGTTAGACGGGGACAAGTATACAAAAATATATTTTTTTGAAAATATATTCTTCGGTTTAAAAGTTAGGGGTCAGAATTTGCTGAGGTTAGAGGTCAGAATATCGCGGTCGGGTTCTGAAAATTGTTCCGGATCGGGGTTAGACAGAGCCCAGCCCTATACCGTCTCCTAATGGTTTCAAAAAAATTAGGGAAAAAATCTTTAAAAATTAGGGAAAAAATCTTTCTTTTAAAAATTACTTTAGTTGCACTAGCAATATCCACAGCATCACAAATTTCAGCCTGTTTGGTCATACATGTAGGGACCCCATCATCTGCTTCAATATACCTTCAAATAAAAATTTTCTATGAAAATAATTCAAAAAAGAAAACCCTTCTTGTTGAGTATCAAGAATTTCAGCACGTGCAACCCTCTCCACTCTTTCAAAAAATCTTCCCTTCTTTTTTGTTAAACGTTTTTGGGCGACTATCGTCCTTGCTTTTTCCTTTAAAATAAAAAAATTTAATTAAAAGATTCTAAACTAACCGGAATTAAAAGCTCAGCCCCAGTTTCATATTCATTTAACTTCTCTTTAGGAATGTCCAACTGTGGAGGGAAATTATCAGGCTTTCCACGAATCAAGTCATTTGGGATCGGAGGACGATTAGGTCGAAATTGTCTTCTTTTTCCAATAAAGTGTTTTCTATGTTGACGATTATTAATTTGCCTTCTCGGCTCTTTCATTTTTATCTGTTAACTAAATTTGAAGAGAAAACGAAAAGTAAACGTTTTATGCTGGTAACGTCAAAACGAAAAATTTTAAGAAACGTTATCTTAAAGCTATAAGGCTTGGGAACATCATTTGACATATTGCCCCTAGAGATAGGCTTGGATCCGAATCCAGGCCTTGATTTTGTTCAAAGTCGAGAATCTAGTCAATCAACGTAATCAACCAAAATCAAGAATCAAGGTCTTTCAAAATTTCCTATCTCTACTTGACGCAAAACCCTTTTGGTCTACTACGTCAGTTTTCGAAAAACGAGGAAGCGATTTCCAAAGAATTATTCAAAACTTTGATCGACAAAGATAAGACAACGTTAAGGAAACAAGGAAAACCATACCGACGGGTTAGAACCACTTCTGTTCTATAAAATAATAAATGGGTAAAAACCGTTAAACAACTAAAAAATCAATCAAAAACATTTTATAATTTTCATCAACAAGAAAATGAACGCATTAAAATTAACAAAAATGCTTTCAAATCATTTCTAGGCTTCCTCTGTCTTGGTTGCTCGAGTATATACCAATTGAGCTCCATGCTTAACCACAACTTTGATTAATCCTTTTTGGTGCAATTCGCGAAGACCAGCACGCGCTAGAGAAGCTCGGACCTAAAATTATTTTTAATCAACTTAAGAGAAGCACTAGACGTTCAACAAACCTTGAGACGTTCAGAAACAACGCTAGGAGTGATCAATTTGACAGAAACAATTTCCTAGAAAAGAGGTCAATTATCAGAAAAAAAACCCCAAAAAACCTTGTAAAGCTTGTCAAATGTCGCCTGGTCAAAAAGTACCATGTTCTGCAACTTGTCCCGAACCTTTCCCTTCGACCACTTCTTCTTCTTAGCCTTTCCGCTTCCTCCGGCTGGCGTGTCCTTCTTTTTTGCTGGCGCCGCTTTTCCTCCTTTAGCGTCGGCCTTCCCACCTTTTGTTTTTGGTGGCATAATTTAATTTATTTTTCTAAAAAAATAAAACATCAGTAATATCAAAAAATCACGAAAAAATAACTTTTACGTCAAAAACTAAAATGAAAATAAATTCCAACAAGAAAATAGTATACAAAACTAAGAGTGTTGGAAAAGATGTAGAGAAAAAACATTTCGCCAAATAAAATAAATCACAACAAATTTAAAACATTAAAAGAGCGAGATCAGTTGAGTACCTCCGGGGACGTCTAATTTTCTCCCCAAACTTTTTATTTTTTAATTTCTCCATTAATTTTCTTCAGATAAGGCAATGACAGACAACACAAAACAACCCAACAACAACGACAATTTAGTTCCTGACCCCTCAATTCTTACCGATTTGGAAGCCCATGCCAGATCAATCGCCTCAAATTTGGATATGACTTTAAGAGATTTGAGAGGTTCTCTACACGGAATGAGCGATTTAACTAGCGAATCTATGCAAGTATTTAATAATATAGTTACTTCTACTTGCGATCAAGTAGATTCTGCAATTCGTTCGACTTATGCAATGTTGGCTAAAGCTGAGGAATTTAGTGAATCAATGAATGGAATGCAAAATATTTTTCAGCAAATGTAAGAAAAAATTTATTTTTTTTGATAAAAGGTTTGGATTGTGTTTTTCCCTCTTTATTTTTTTCAAAATTTAATTTTCTTTCAAAATGGTTAATAATGGTCAGACTAAGGAACTTTCTTTTTTTATTAGGGTTACCAAAATGGCCCGACTCGGACCGAAAGATCGAGTCCCGAAAAAGGCTCGTACGGCCCGACTCAATAAAAACAAACCCGAAAAAGATGGCTTGAAAAAAAACGGCCCGGTTTGAAAACGGCAACCCTAATTTTTATGCAAAGAACCCTTTCTTGATTGAAAAATGCCAAGGAAACTGGAGACGAATTTCGGGAAAATTTTAAAAAAAGGAACACGGAGGGGGAGAGAACACAAACTAAACTTTTTCCCATATTTTTTAAATTAAAATTAAATTTTTTGGAAATTTTGGAAATCGGTAACCCCCCATTCCCATTTTTCCTTTAAAAATATACTAGAAATAAAAACGGCACTCCAAATTACTTTTATCTTAAAAAAAATTTTTTTCAGAAAAGATGTTAAGCAACTTCTCAACGATTTTGAATTAAAATTGGCATCAAATATAGGACAACAAAAATAATTTTCTTGAAGAAAAAATATTTTAAATTATTTAAATTTGTACAAAAAATTAAAATAAAAAAGGTTTTATAATTTTATTTTTTTAAATTAATTAAATTTCAAAAATTAAAAAAATAGTTAAAGAGATTATTGCACAAATGTAAAAAAATTTAAAAATATTTTAAAAAAATGAGAATTTTCCGTTAATTTAACGTGAAGAATTAATTAAAAGCATTTTGGGGAGCTGGATAAAAACACCAGTTTTCCTACAAGTTTTTAAACCTAATTTTTGTCATTTTTTCATATAAAAATTGACTGGCTTTCACTTAAAAATTGGGGAAAAATAATTTTTAGAAAAGGAATAATTTTTCCAGAAAAATTCCTTCAAAAATATGCCCCTCCCCCCCCCCCCCCCCCAACAGGCTCGTAGCCAGGGACCTTCAAAAATTCTCAAAATTTTCGCCTACGGTGCTAAAAATTCAGCAAAGAAAAATTTTTCCCTTGCCCCCCCCCCCCCCCCCGAAAAAAAAACTCCAAAAAAAATTTTTCTCCAAAAGATAAAATTTCGCTACGGGTATGCCCCTTAAAAACTGGTGTTCCAAAAAAATTAGACTAGAAAAACTTAAATTCCCCACACAGTTTTAACATCTAGTTGTTTCACTTTCAGCCAAGCTTGTAATACTTTCACGTCTATGTCCCATTTTTGGATATGTATGTTCTTGCATTTCCTCTCCTCCTTCTAATTCTACTTGTAATGTCATTTTTTCTAATGCTAATAAATGACGTTTCCATATAGGTTCTGATTTTTTTAGTGATCTAAAAAAAATTTTTGTGCAAATTTTTTGTTCTATTTTTTATTTTAAGGGTGTCAACGACCAATTTTAAGACTGACTTTCTTTTTATATTTTGTCAAAAATAAATTTTTCCAAAAAATTAAAAAATGATTTTCCAAAAATTTTTCCTAAAAATAAATTCGTATTCAACAAAAATTTAAAACAGAAAAATGCCAGTTTCGCTTGTCGACGAATTTTTGTGTTATTGATGTTTCACATTCGTTTTTCTTTTTTGATGAAAACCCCAAGGAGTTAAAACTACAAATCGAACCGAAACGGGATCCGGGACAAAATTTCGGTTATCGATTTTGATTCTTGAACAAAGTCCGGTTTCTCGTTCCCTCGAACAACCCCACTATCCTTTAAGCAAAATTTACCCCCCAAAATTTTTCCAAATTTTCTACAAAAAAATAGACTTTGAGACTTACTCTCTTTGTTTTTCAATAATATAATGACTTGTCCACATTTTATAAATTAATTGTGTTGACATTTGCTAAAAATTCAATCTTAAAAAAACCCAAAAAAATCTCAAAATTAACCACGTCCGCGTGTTGGGCAATTAATCGAAGAATAAATAATCCATCCGTTTTTAAATATTTAACAATAAATTTAGCTACACATTGCTGAATTTCTTTAAAGAAAATTTTTTTTGTTTAAATAAAAAAATAAACAAACGTTTTGGTTGTAAAATATTTGGATCTTTATCGAATAATGGTTCACCAGCCATTTCTAAATGATTAAAAATAAAATGTTCGGCAGAAGCTGTACTTAAGTAGCCATAGAACCTTTAAAAATAAAAATTTTCTTTTATTTAAAAATTTTTTCAGTGAAAATTATTGAGAAAATTTTTAAAATTATGAGTATATAGGCCAGGGTTGGGTCGGATTGAAAAAAAAGTTTTGGGTTGCAGGTAACCGACAAATTCTCCAAACAGTCTATTTCTTATTTGCTAGGCCTGGGGTTGTTCCAGACCATTAATGAATTTTGGACATTTATTCGGAAATCCCGATTTAATCCCAATACCGGCCGATTCAATTTTTGTTAGGATCCCTTAACCCTGTCGACTCAAAGAGCGTTTTCAATTTTAAAATTTCTTAAAAAACAAACCAAGCACTAATATTAGCCAAAGTAATAATTGCCAAAACTGTATACCATCCCCACAAAAGCATAAAAGCTTTTTCCATAAAAACGTTTAAAACTAAAACACATTGAACTGTATGGTTAACTGATTGTCCCATTTCTCTGACCTTTAAAAAAATTTTTCTCAAAAATTTTTTAAAAATTTTTAACAAAAAAATTTTCCTTCTTACATCAAAATCACACCAAGTAACTCTAGGGAATACTCCAGATTCCTTCCAAAAAGTTGAATTCCAGTGCAACAAATTTCTCCAATTATCGTTTGACCCAAAAAGATAACTTTAAAAAATAATTTTAAAAAATTTAAAAAATAAAAAATCTAACCGATTAAGAAAATTTAATTGTCCTGTTACATTAATAAAAAATAAACATTTACTTAATAAATATACAAGTGTTACATAATAAGCAGAATATTTCATATTTAATAGACGAAAAAATCTGTGAGGGCGAATTCTTCTCTGAACAGAAAAAAATTTTTTTATTTGAAAACTTGGTTCTCCTCCCTAAAAAGGTTACTCGAACTCAGAAATCCTAATTTTTTCGATCCGAAACTCGATCAGGAATTAATTTTGAAAACCCAACTCAGAAATCCTATCCGATTTTCTCTCAACCCGTCATATCCCTTCCTTGTCCATGCCCAGCTATTAATTAATCTTCACTCCATTTTTATATTTTATAGTAGAATTCTTAAAGCCCAGGTTTTCATTTTTAATAAAATCTCAAAACCCAATCTTGAAGGAAACTTTAAAAATCCCCCAAAAAATTTCTTTTATCCCCAAAAATTCCTTCATTTTAAAGAAAAATACATTTTTGTATACCCCAAAAAATATCCCCAAATAAAATTAAAAATAAATTCAAAAAAAACCATTTCCAATCTTCTATGAAATTTTAAAACTTTCTGCAAATGATTACAAAGAGAATTAATATTATCCGCTCTAATTGTTGGATCACTATTAGCTTCACTGGATGCTATTCGAAGAATTTCGCCTACTTTCATTCCTAAAATTTATTTTTTTTTATTAATCTTAGGAAAGCAAAGGATTTGAGTTAAAAAGTCTTTAAAAAAATATTTTTAAAAATTAGAAAAAAAATTTTTTGTCCGCAAAAAACTTGCGGACACAAAATTTGTCCGCAAAAATTTTTGCGGACAAAAAGGGAATTTAGCTCGTTCATAAATCCTAAACATTCCCAAGGATTACCAAAAAGTTAAAAAAAACCTGATTGCGCATGAAAATACTTCCAAATTAGAGCGGGCACTTTAAAACACCCCGCTTGAAAAATTAAAAAGAAGGGAATCCATTGATAATAACTAATTCTTCTTTCTCTTCTTTCCTCATCACTTATATTCACTATTATTTGTTCAGCTTTATCTATAGCTACAAAATAAGTGTTGGCCGTATAACAATAATTTTCTGTGTACTAAAAAATTTTAAGAGAATTTTTAAAAATCAAACCCTATAACTTGTGGCCGAAAAATCCTCTTATAATGAGGTGTCTCTTAAATAGAGAATAAAACTCGCTATAAGACACGCTCTTATTTAGGATACGTTTCTTAAAATTTGGTTGACCTCTAGGTGGAGGAAGCTGCCTAAGCGACATCCCGTATTTTAGATACCCCAATTAAAGACCCCTCATTGTAGGATAGTCAAGCGACAAGGGCGTAGGCGAGGGGCTGGCTTAGTGACAGAAGACACACAGACAGAAGACCCCTCTGCATCAACACGATCTGGGGGTATATATAACCTGAATATAGTCCCACCCTGAAATCGACCCTCTGGCTACGCCCTTGCCAAGCGATACCCTCTATTTAATAGACCACATTATAAGGTATCTTCTATTTAAAATACTCCTCATTATAAAAAACAATTTTCAACCCCAAGTGTGTATCTTTAAAGTCTAATTAAATAATTTCAAAAAATACATCAGTCCAAGAAGAAGAAAATCCAGCAGGCGTCATACACTCAATAGGTCTACCTCCAAATTGTTTATAACTTAACAGAATAGCCAATCCAATCAAAAAATTGAAAGTAAAATAAGAATGTAAATTAGCTATTATATCTTGTACTGGTGGACGATTGCTTTAAAAAATTTTTTTTTAATTTTCTTATAAAAAATTAAAAAAAAACCTGAATGGAACGGTACTCAAAACACGTAGAATTGACATTTTTTTAATTTAATATTTAAAATTTCCTAAAAATTTCTTAAAATTTTTAAAATTATTTCTTAGAATCCTCAGACAAAATCCACATAACCACAAATGTCTTCTGGTCAATTGTCTATTTCCCCCGTATTTCCCTATCGTCTTTTTGTGAGACATTTCGTCCCCAGAAAATTGAGTTATAATTTAAATAGTTAAAGTAATAAAAAAACAGTAAAAACTCTAGTAAAAAAAAAAGATATTAAATTTAAAAAAGAATAAATTACCTAAATAAATTAATTTTTAAATTTTTATAATTTACCTAGCGAAAAAAATAAAGTTGCACGAAAAAAAATTTTTTTTTAATTTTAACAAAACATAAGATTCTTCCTTTTCTTTTTTCTTTAATAACAATAAGCCACGCGTTCCTTCTTCCTTTTGTTCTCCATCTTCTCTTCATATTCCAATTCCAATACTTTACGTTGAATTTTAAGGTTGGAAATTTGTTCTTCAGCCAAAATAGTCTAAAAATAATTAAAAAAAAAGATTTTTTGATTAATCAAAAGAAATACCTGAATTCGAAAATATTCCAATTTAGCCTTTTTCAACTCAGTATCCATATCTTCCCAAGGTTTCAACGCAACAGAATCTTAAAAAATAAATTTTTGGGGTCCATTAAATCTTATCCCTTCTAATTAAAACAAAAATAGGTCCATTATTCAATGTTCTCTCCCATACGTCAACTCCATTTAAAGTACCGACAAGACCCTTCTATGTATCCCCAAACTAGTCACTAACACTATAAATTGAGGGTAGCAACCCTTCAGATCGGGGTTTGTCATTGCAGAGCCCTAGGGGTCCGGGTCGCGGTTTTTGCCAAAAAAATCGTCCGGAGTCGAGTTGCTGCTTAACTATAAAACGGAGTTAACTGCATTTTTGTGCATTTACCTAATACAATTTGCGTTACCTAAAAAATTTTGTCCCTCCTTCAAAGTTGTGGGAATCTGGTACTTTTTGAAAACTTCCAAGCCCCTATACCCCAAAAGTATGCCGAAACTAAATTTTAAAAAGTAAGGACAAATACCGGAAGACAGCAAAACTGAGAAGATACTTTCGCTACTCCCCCACACTCACCCCCTCTCCCTCTTTTGACGGCTTCTTCCTCCTAAAAATCATTTAAAAATAAAAATTACCCTTTAAAGATGGAGGCTTTTGTTTTTCTTCCATCTTTTTACTATTTATTCCTACCAAATTATTAAACAATAACTGTTCTGTAACTAAAAATAAAATAAAAATGTATTTGAGTGAAATAAAGCAAAATGTGCAAAAAACGAATTCCCCAATTTTTCATCTCCCTCAAAAAAAAGGAAAATGCCTTTACGATATTTTAGAAGTTATTTTAGAAGTTTGCCTTATCGAGTCTACTTATTTATAATACCGGACCCGAATTCGAGTTCGAAGAGATGGACTATCCCTTGAATGAACCCTGACAAGATTCAAACTCCCACCCTCTACTAATTCTCAAACAAAATCCACTTAACCACACTGTCCAACTGTCTTTCGACCAATTGTCCTAATTTCCTATTGTCTTTTTGGGACACTTTGTCCCCATAGAGTGAAAAAGTAAATTTAAAAAGAAAAGGTAAATAAAAAAATTAGGTAAATTATTTTAATAAAATTATAGCTAAAATTTAACATTTTTATTTTTAAAAGAAATAAAATTGCACAAAAAATTATTATTTTTCTTTAATTTTAATTTAAAGATAAACTCTTGGCTTCATCCTTTCCTCCTCTTTCTTCCTTTCCTCCTCCCTTTTCTTTTCCATTTTTTCCTCATATTCCATTGCCAACAATTTCCCCTTAATTTTAAGATTGAAAACTTATTAAAGAGAAGAAAAATACCTGAATTCGAAAATATTTCAACTTAGCCTTTTTCAACTCAACGTCCAAAATTTCACCCGGCTTCAAAGCAAAAGAATCTTTAAAAATTAAAAAAAATTTTTTTGAAGTCAATAATCCTTCCCCTTTCTAATTAATATAAAATAGGTTCATTATACAACAATGTTCTCCCATACAAGTCAACTCCGATTAAAATGCCGACAAGCCCTTCCAGTTGTCCCCAAATTAGTAGAAGGTAACGGGACTGAGTTTCAAAAGATTGTTGAATGAGAGGGATCTTGTCGACTCTAGCTAGCACTATAAACGGAGTCGACTGCATTTCTTCATCAGTCCTTCAAGGTTGGGGGAAACTAGCCGTTTGAAACATCACAAAACCCCTTACACCCCAGAGGAGTGCCCAAACTGCTTTTAGAAAGTAAAAAGTGAATACCGAAAGGTGAAACACCAAAATGGCGAAATAATCCACCTCCTACCTCTGCCTACCTTTCCCCCCAAAAATTATAAATAACAAAAATTACCCTCCAAAGATGGTTGAGGATTTTGTTGCTGCTCCATCTTTTCAGAATTATTTTGAGACAATTTCTGTCCTTCTTTATTAATTTCTACCAAATTATTAAACAATAACTGTTCTGTAATTTGTACTAAAAATAAAATAAAAATGAATTTGAGTGAAATAGACAAAATGTCAAAAAACGAGCAAAATTTTGTTTTTTCAATTTACTTTTCCTCATTCTTCATCTCCCTCAAAAAATGAGGAAGAAATGCTTTTACAATATTCTAGAGGTTTGCCAGTTTCGAGTGTGTTGATTCTTAATATGATCTCAAATTCCACCTATTTCTAATCCCGGACCCGAACTTGAAGAGACGGTCTATTTCTAGAATGAACCCTAAGAAGATTCAAACTCCCACCCTCTAGTAATTCTCAAACAGAATCCACTTAACCACACTGTCCAATTGTCTTCCGACCAATTGTCCTAATTTCTTATTGTCTTTTTGGGACACTTTGTCCCCATAAATTTGAATAAAAATTAAATTTAAACAGTAAAGGTAAATTAAAAAAATTAAATTATTTTAATAAAATTGTGGTTAAAATTTAACATTTTTATAATTTAAAAGAAATAAAATTGCACGAAAGAAATTATTATTTTTCAATTTTAACAATCACAGGTCCATGTATTTGCCTTCTTCCTTTCCTCCTCCCTTTTCTTTTCCATTTTTTCCTTATATTCCATTGCCAACAATTTCCCTTTAATTTTAGAGTTAGAAACCTAAAAATTTAATTTTTTTTTAAATTTTGATTGAAAAAAAGGAGTAGTTAGACCTGAATTCGAAAATATTCCAATTTAGCCTTTTTCAACTCAACGTCCAAATCTTCGCCAGGCTTCAATGCAAAAGAATCTTTAAAAATAAAAATAAATTTTGGAGTCAATAATCCTTCCCTTTTCTAGTTCGGAAATAGGTCAATTAACACAATAAATGCTCTTTCATACAAGTCAACTTCGCCTAAAATGCCGACAAGTTATCCCCAAATTAGTCACTCGTATTAGAGATCAAAATAGCATTTCCAAGGTCCCGTAACAGGATTGAGTTCCAAAAGATTGTTGAATGAGAGGGATCCCTCCCATGTCGACTCTAGCTAGCACTATAAACGGAGTCAACTTCAGTTCTTTGTCAGTCCTCCAAAGGTGTGGAAATCTAGTTGTTTGAAACATCCTCAAAAACCCTTACAGCCAGAGGAGTGCTCAAACTGCTTTTAAAAAACAAAAGCGAATACCGAAAGGCGAAACACCAAAAAAGGCGAAATTTTCCACCTCCTACCTTTGCAACGCTTCCTTCCCCCAAAGATCGTAAAATAACAAAAATTACCCTCCACAGATGGTTGAGGATTTTGTTGCTGCTCCATCTTTTCAGAATTATTTTGAGACAATTTTTGTCCTTCTTTATTAATTTCTACCAAATTATTAAACAATAATTGTTCTGTAATTTGTAGTAATTGTTCAGAATTAATTTGTGACTAAAAATAAAAATGAATTTAAGCGAAGTATGACAAAATGTCAAAATTTCCTCTTGTGACATTTTGTCGAATTGGTGTTTTGAAGATTTTACATGTATTGGCAATTTGTCCAATAAATTATTGAATTTTTCAAAACACCAATTCGACAAAATGTCACAAGGGGAATTTTTGACATTTTGTCACACTTCACGAAAAATCTGTTAATAAGTAACTTCAAGAAAATCTTTTACCAATTCATTATTATCTTCAGTTTGTTCTTCAACTTTTTGTGCCATTTTATTATTAAAATCTTCCTCACATTTAATTTTTTTACTTTCCTTTTCTTTTTCCAATTTAAAAAATAATTTGTAAAATTCAGTATTTTTGTGTTTAGATTTTAAATGATAAACTAAATTTGTTGTTGTAAAATTGTTAACACTAAAAGTGTATTTCTTCTCTTTATTTTCAATACATAATTTGCATATAGCTTCTTTATTGTTGCCTTCTAAACGTTGAAATAAACCGATTTGCCAAATTGTTGCTCTCATTTAAATTTTCTTTAACTTTAAAAAAATGAAAATTAAAAATCAGAAACTGCTTGAAAAAAATTTTTTTATCAGACAAAAATGATAAAATGATAAGATAAATTATTTAAAAACAAAAAACTACCCCAAATAGTCATTTTACCACAGCGGGGTTCGAACCTCACCCCTCTCCGTTACAAGTCGGAAGTCTTACCTACTTAACCATACACTAACTGATGAAGGGAAAATGAATAAACGTTTAAATAAATTGGTGAGCTGCCTAATTCGATAAATGGATTTTATAAAACTAAATTTCTAATTAAATTTTTTTTTAAATTCAAAAAAAAATTAAAAAAATATTTTATATTAAGTAAAATGAATTAGTAAATTAAAAAGGGAAGAAAAATATAAAAATTAATTTAAGAGGGGAAAACCAATCAATGGACAATTAGTTGGTTTATATAGAGAGAAGGAATAAATTAATTGTATACACACAGAAAAAATTTTATTTGTTCATTGGTTAGAGAAAAAAAGAAAAAAAATAGTAAAGTAAAACAAATAAAAAATATAAATAGTAAAAAATTATTCAAAAAAATTTTTTCATTTTTAAACATCAGCAGAAACACTAGGCGTCCCTGTTCGGCTAGCAAAATTGCTGTTCACTATATTATTGTCTGCTTGAGGGCCAAGATGAGGTAAAGGTTGAAAACGTGGAGGTGAAAGTGTTTCTATATAAATTTAAAAAGTTAATTTTGAATTTTGGGGATTTTGCTGGCAAAAAATCTCCTTTCCTAATTCTTGTTGATTCATGACGCTCACATATTTTTTAAATTTTCAAGACCCAAAATTCACGATCCAAACCATAACAGAAATTAAAGACGTAGCAGGGAAGGGTCGAGTTACCCGAAACCTAAACTTGGATTTTATTCGACTTGGGTGAAGATCCCGAAAAACTTTTTACCCGATCGACTTTTTTTCCTTAATACCTGGCTCTGTCAGTGCGGTACGCTTATATCTACAGACGAATACCAAGTCCCAATGAAATCACAGTGAGTCATGTTTAGTTTACATAATAGAGACCAGACCGAGACGAGATCCTGATCAAAATCTAGGTTATCGAAACCGAATTTCGATCGAGATTTAACGATCTTGATCTCTTCGGGAAGCGAGATTTTTTCGAGATCTCGATTCTCGTATGACACTTCAAGTCCGGTCTCTAATAGTTATCGTTACCCATTTTTCATATTTTTCTCGAAGTCCGCCTTATTTATGACTCTTCCGCTTCCGATTTTTCTCTTTCCGATTTTTCCTTCTTCTCCCATTTTCCCCAAAAATAACAACCAACTTCTCAATTTTCCACCATTTTGTATGACAGGAAAACGTTGTTGTTGTTGTCCATTAATTACTATATCATTAGGAATACTTGCAGTACTTGCATTAATACTTCGAGGGAAAGGGGAGGGAGGGGGTGGATTTAAATTAATTTCATTTTTGTTATACGAGGGGGGAATTATTTTTATATTATTATTTTTTGTTTCTTCTTTTGACGAATTTAATGGAATTAGTTCTGGGCGGTTATTAAAAGTTGATTTTAGGAGGGTAGATTCGTTACTTCTTTTTGAGGAATGAAATTTGTTTTGATTATTATCTTGTTTGGAGCTTCTTTAAAATATGTTTAGAATTAAAAAAGGCTGCCAGATCTCTCTATAAGATACCCCCAATACTAAAGATCGGACCGAGACAAGATCTTATTGAAAATCTCAGTTATCGAAGATATCGGTTATAGAGACTCGATACTCGTAAAAACTTTCAGTCCGATCTCTATTAGTTACACCCTCTATTTAAGAGACGCTCTTTTTAAGAGCGTCTCTAGTTGGGGAAGCTGTCTAAACGTCTTTAAGAACAACGTCTTTACGATACATCTCGTTATATGGTTACAGGGATGGGCAGGGTTACCCAAAACCCTACCCGAAGAAATTTCTGGAAACCCGACCCTTTACCCTCTTAATCCCCTAACTGACCCGTCCCGAAACATGACCCGAGATCCGGACTTTTTTAGACCCAAAACCCGATCCAAAAAATTTTCCAACTCCCGAACCGACTACCTTCTCGAAAACAGCAAACAAGTTAACAATAACAACAATAAAACGAACAAAATACCAGAAACAAGACAAAGAATAATAAATCCATTATAATAAAAAGTTGAGACAACTTCCTTCATAGAAAATTTTAATTAAAGATTAAACTAATCAAGTACCCCATATAACACTCCTCCCTGTTCATCAGCACAATAAGCATTGTTTTTAACACCAAAGGGACAATTTTGACAATTGGTGACCTTATAAAGAATTTTATTTTAGTCGTAGAGAAAGACCCAAGAATTTCCACAACTAAGGATAAAGAGCTTGATCCTTTAGGAGAGGTCTTGATTAGTCTTTGGATACCCGAAACTTAAGATCTAAACAGAAAATCCGGCAGTTTTTTTTCTAGTCAGTTCGATTCTAGCCAAAAACCCCCTAGCTCCTACCCCCCCTCCCCTTGGCTTGTCTAAAACCGTCCTTTCACCAGATTACCCAACCAATATGACCATGGGGGTTGGGTGCCCCAAGAACTAATCTACCTATTTATAATATATGTAGAACATCGGAGCCCTCCGGAAACCAAGGACATTCAAGATATTTTTTAATTAAAGTTTATATTTACATCCAAATTTCCCCCATTAGTCCATTTACATTGACTAAAATACCCAGTTTTTACATTCTCACAAATTGCATTATTTGTTGTAATTGATGTAGTATTACAATTTAAATCACAACCAGGACCCATTAAACGTCTACCATCTCTACTTATTCCTCCGGCACACGAAACAGAATAAGTAAACGACAATCTTTAAAAACATAATTTTGAAAGTTAAATTTTAAAAGTCTGTGTGGAAGACTAAAAAGGAAGTCTAAATTCAACAAGTTGCTCTTTCGAATCATTAAAGTGTTATTCTCCTTTGCCATATTCCCTGAAGGTTATGACTTTATTGACCTCCACCTCTTTTTCGATGCAGAGGTATCGGCTAAGTAAACTCCATGGTAGCTCGATGAACCTACGAACTGTTAGCCGAGTTCGCTAGGTTCATTCCTTCCCCTTGGATCCTTCGCCTTCAACTAAACTCAAATAAAAATTCTCTTACTGAGTTCCCAATATTTCCCCAATAAGGTTAACACTTTGTTGTCCACGAATATCCGAAGAATAACCAGAAAATAAATTTAAAGGTTGAATGAAACTGTCAACAAGAGTTACAGTATTTGTTTCATACAAATTTCCATCGGAATCAATTTGAGGTCCCAAATTGTAAACTAGAACGGCTATGGCAGACTTAAAATTTTGAATTTTAAATTGAAAATTAGTCGAAGCTCGCTAATATAAGATACCCCTTTTTAGGGCTGAAAAATCGTTCTTATAATGAGGGTGTATTAAATGGAGGTTTATCTAATATTGAGTGTATCTAAATAGAAGGTACATTAAAATGAGGTCTCTTAAATAGAGGGTACTCTATAATGAGGGGTGTGTTAAATAGAGGAGTATCTAATATTGGGGGTCTCTTATAATGAGATCTTACCCTCTATTTAATGGACGACTTGACCTCTATTTAATAGACGACTCAATATAAGAGCCAATTTTTCAGCCCCAAGAGGGTATCTTATAGCGAAGCTCAACTCCATTTAAAAACTAACAGGCTGAGAATCAATCAAAAACTTTTGTGGCACTTGTTCAAAATTAAGTTGACCTGCTTGGTTAAGTGGATTATAAACTGTTTGGAAATATTTAAGAGAAGAACTTGAAAAAATTAAAACTATTTTTGAGAAAAATTTTTTGTTACCTCGCAGAAAGAACAAAAATTGTTAAAGATGTAAGGCAATTGTATCCATTACGTTGTGGACTAGCCTAAAAAATTTCTTTTTTCGTCTTTTATGAATTCAACTGCTTTAAAATTGGGGAAAGAGTAGGATATTATTTCAGCAAGTCTGATAAATCTTAATTGATGCTATAAGGAAGAATAGGAGGGATAAAGCTGACCAACATTTAAAAACACTTACTAGACGAGTGCTTAAGTTTTAAAGGTGAAAGTAATGCCCCGGTAGCTCAGCCGGTAGAGCAATTGTACGAGGTGGTGAAACCAACCACAGGCCTTCTAATGTCCATACGGTATTTTGTCCGGACGATGTTTTGCCCCTCACCCTAGGCATGCCATCCTTATGAAATTATCCAAAAAAAAATTTCTAGACTCACCTGAATACAATGTTCACCAAAAGAGCCTTTAGGGCAAGTACACAGCCTCCCCTGAGGCAGTCTAAAGTCTGGATTGGAATATCCACGTAATTGAATCTTTAATTGGATTTAAATTAAATTTAATTCCCCCTCTAAATAACCTCAATATTAACATTTTCCAAATTTGAGGGCATTTTTAAATTCGAAATTAAAGGTAAAGAATTATTTAAAGAATTATTTCCCCCTTCATTTATTTTATTTTCAATATTTTTTGATTTTAATAAATTTGAATAATTAAAAGAATTTTGTTTTTGTTTTGATGTTGCGTCAAAATAGTCAAAGGAATTTATTGGAGGAATTAGAAAGAAGATTAATAGAAAAATTAAAATTAGTAAATTGTTGAAAAATAAAATTTGTATATTTTTTTGTTGAAGTGTTGGTGACATTTATTTAATAAAATACTTTTTTTAATAAAATTTAATTAATTTTCAGTCTATAAAAATAAATTTTAAAATTAAAGTAAATCGTTGTTGGACCTAGTTATAAGATATCCGCCTGGAACAGAAAAAATATTGTAGCTTATATTGAGCTGTCTATTAAATAGAGGGTTAAATCTCACTATAAGATACTCTCTCAATTTTAGCACACCTCTATTTAATATACGTTTTTAATTGATAACCTCTGTTTAAGAGACATCCGTTATAAGGTACCTTCTATTGAACATACGCCTCATTATAAGATACGATTTTTAACCCCAAAGGATTACCTTATAGTGAGGGTAGAGTGTAAAAAATTAAAAATTTTTAAATTTAGAGATCTTACAAAATAAGAAACGAAGGTCAAAAAGAAGGAATAATAAAATTGTTGTTCTTTTAGCATTTATTTATTTTAAAATGACTCATTTTTTCAAACAATTCATGGGATAAGGAAAGGAGGAACATAGAGAACATTCATCTTTAATGTATATTTTAACATTTAAAGTGTTATTTTTAAAAATATTAAAAAAATATTTTTAAAAATACAACAGAATTTAGCTTCTCTATGGGGTGAGCTTTAATCTTTGGGAAAGAAACAATTTTTGAAACAAGACTGAATCAAACATGATTTGAAGATACTGGACATTTAATAAAGATTAAGGTTTTCAATAGGGTCGAAAAATCAAGTCAATAAGGTCGAAGAACCGAGAATCTTTCTGTTTAGTTATCCTGTTTGAATACTCTAACAATAAGTCTTTCTCAATGGATACTAGTGATGCTCGGGTCCAACTCCCGAATCGGGAAATTTCCCCGAGTTTTTGGCCTCCCGATCCCAAGGTAATTTTTCCCGATCCGACTCCCGTTTCCCAGGTTTTTCTTCTCCCAAGAATCTCTTTTAATGTGTATGCCCCAAAATTTTAAACAAAAAAGGTAGGATTTTTGACAAAAAAACTTTAAAAACAATTTAAATTAAAAATCAATAAAGTCAAAAAATTATAATTGTATTTTTTACAATCCAAAAGCTTTTTAATTTTTTTCTCGCTTAAAATTTGTACAAAAAATATTTTTAATGAAAGCTTTTTTAATACTCTTCCCTTTTTCTTATCTGTACAAACAAAAATAAATAAATATTTACTCTTTATTTTTGCGACAAGAGTTGAGGTTTGGGGTGTTTAGTAGTAGTGGTGGTGGTGGTGTGAATCACCTTCGTCTTTCCACAAAAATTTTTAAAGAAAATTTTTGTGGAAATATTTAATATTTATTTGAGGTTAAAAACAAAAATCATTCTAAAATTAGAGTACGGTCCGGCAAGAGGAATAATTAATTTTTTTTTCCCAACTTGTTTAAATAAAGGTGGAAGAAGGAAAGTAGTTAACCCCCCCTCCAAGTCGTTGGGGCAGCGGGGTCCAACCATTTAGCCCCTCCCACATTTTTAAATGGTCATTCAACAACTACGTCGTCAGAGTCCAAAGGTTTAAGGATTTCCCTTTAAGGGATAATTTGATCAAACCGGTTTGGTGCGAACTTTAAAAAAACACCTTACCATACCATTCCCCACATTTTTCACCAAATTTTATTCTAAAAATTTTCCCAAAGTTTCTAGGGTTTAATAAGTAGTTTTCAAACGGTTCAATCAAGATTTCCCATATTTTTTCTTTTTAAAACTGTTTCTTAAACTTTTTTTAAGTTTCTTTTCTTACAATATCTTATTTTATTATTTTTACCCTTTATACTTAAAAAAATACAATAATTATTAAAAAGTAGGCGGTTGAAATAGAAATAGTAAAAATCAGTCATGCAATAATTATGTTGCAAAATTATTGTTGAAAAGTGAAAATTGGTTAGAAATAGGTCATGCAAGAGAAAAACTGTAAAAATTTGTAAATTATTGTTGAAAAGTTAAAAATGGGTAAATTTTTAAAAAGTAGACGTTGAAGATAGAAATAACTTTAAAAAATATAAATAGGTAAAAAAATAGCTCATGCAAAAATTGATCAAAAAATCATTAAAAAGTAGGCGTAGAAAAGTGAAAATAGACTATAATTATAAAAACAAAATATTACTGTAATAGGAAAAATAAATAAATGAAAATAAATAAAGTTTTATAATTACCCCTCTCTATTAATTACCCACTAATAATTTAAAAAATTAAGAGTTTAAAAAAATAAATTCTACAAACAACATCGTCGCATCGTTCACAACTTGCTAATTATATACCTAAAAATTTTTCTTTACCAGATATTATGCTAATTTTCTTTCTCGAAATATTATTTAAAATTTAAAACATTTCCTATCTAGTTAAATTATGTTAAATTTATTTTTAAAACTCCTCTTCTTGACTGGAAATAAAAGAAAAAGATTGTTTTATATAGGGATTTCTCTTCTTTTGACAACATCCTAAGGAATAAAAACAAAGGTATGTATTATTACGAAACTAAACATTATTAAGAAACTTGCTCGCTCTTTCTTTATTCTCTTTAAATTCTTTTGCTTTTTTATGCAAAAATTCTTTTAGGCTTTTTCCCGCGACCGCGACTGGAAAATAATGAAAAGGAATTTCAGTGAAATTCCTATTTTACAACACATCAATTATTTTATGGAATATTTTCTTAAAAAAGGATTTCACATTTCTTTCTTCATTCTTTAAAATTCTAAGAAATTTAATACTTTTGAATTAGTCTCTAATTTTGAATTTATTTTATTATTAATGTCTCCTCCACCTTCGAAGAAAGCACGACATTTCTTCATTGATAATCTATTACAGAAAGGTGATGGTGATTATGTAAAACATTTGGGTGAAGAAACTAAAATCACCCGGAAATTTAACCTTACCAAACTGTCTACTAAATTCTTAATTTCGAATATCCCACCCGATCCTGAGGGTTTATTAAAAGGAATTTTCCAAGAATGCATCGACAAAACATTGGAGACGAGTCATGGTCATCAGCTTGATCCAGATCAACTTGGCTGTACAGTGAGCAGTCAATTGTTAGAATCAGATATTTGGATTCCAATACGTGAAATTACTCCCAACACGGTGGATTCAATTCTTAACCAATTTCTAAAAGTGGCCCAATCTAAAAAACAGGATCAGGGAATGTTATGGGGTGAACCATTTACCGTTTCTGTTACAGCTATTGACAAAAAACATCTGCCTACAACACGTTCTATTAATGGTAGTGGCAAAAATCCATCACCAATTCGACATAAAGTTAAAGACCACAACCTCATTAAAATTATTAATTCAGACAACTACTGCTTATTTCGATCATTGTCTGCCACCTTTATATTTTCAACATGCTCATGGCCGAAATGGAAGTTCTATGACTATATGCATAGCAGATTAGGAATGAAGAAACGTTTGGAACATGATACAACATTCTTGATGGAAAATGTAGGAGCTCCTCTTGATTTAACAACATATGATGCAAATGAATGGGTACCCAAGGTGGTTGATTATTGGAATTCAAGGAATGATGGCCTGTTTAAAGTTTTTATTTTTGGAGAATTGGGTGAGAAGCCTATTTTTAAATATGGGGATGAAAATCACACTACTCCAATTCTTCTTTATTACAACAATAATCATTTTGATGGAGTTAGAAAAGCAAGCGATTTATTTGGTAAACCTTATTGCCTATCATGTGAGATAATTTACAACCGCCCAAAAGATCATTCTATCACCTGCACATCAAAATGTCAAAATTGCTCCAGGATCGGACCCAATTACCCATGCCAGCCTTTAGATAACTACTTCAAACATTGCTCTGGTTGTTCTAAGAAATTTAATAATGAAGAGTGCTACACCCATCATCTCAAATCTAAATTTTGCCACAACTCTAAGAAATGTGAGAAATGTGGAGTGATATGGTATGTGAAGGACAACAACAAGAATGGGCGCAGTGGACATGTTTGTTCAGAACGTTACTGCACCACCTGCTTTAGCTTCCATGACCCAAAAAGAGGTTGTTACATTAAATCTCTAACTCAAAGGAAGCCAAAACCCTACCGAGTCATCGCTTTTGACTTTGAAACCATGCAACACAGGCAAGGCGAAAAAGGGAAATTACATGAAGTGAATTTTATATCTGCAAAAATCAACTGCCCCGAGTGTATTAGTAACGGAAACAACGATTGTACTATTTGCGGAGAAGAACGAACTATAACCTTCTCCCACCAACCATTTTCCAACACTCAAGTCGATCAACAAAATGTTACTAATGATCCTCTGACTGATTTTGTAACCTGGATCACTAATTTTTCTACTGATACAATAGCCTTCTCTCATTTTGGAGGAAGGTTTGATATGGTCCTAGTCTTCAAGGCATTGTATCTCAAAGGCCTAATCCCAGAAATGATAAAGAAAGGTAACAAAATGTATGAGATGAAGGTGAAGAACAATAAAAAATGCTGGGTCATCTTCAGAGACACATACAATCTAATGCCAATGCCTCTGGCATCTCTTGTACCAGCCTTTGCTCTTAAAACGGAAGACAAACCTTTCTTCCCTCACCTGGCCAACAACCCAAAGAATTATGGGAAAGAAATCTTTCCGACAAAAGAAGATTACCTTGCTAATGGGATGATGCCTGAAAAGAGGGCTCAGTTCGATAAATGGTTTGACCAACATAAAAATGAGCCCTTCAACTTAAATGAACAACTAGCAGCATATTGTATCAACGATGTGGAGATCCTCATGGCTGCACTCATTGCCTTCAGAACGGAATTTTTGGAAGTCTCCAATGGCTTGGATGTTCTTCGTGAAGCTATGACAATTGCTTCTGCCTGCATGAAGCACTTCCGCATGAATCACCTCAAAGCCAACCATTTAGGAATTGTTCCTGAAAAAGGTTACGACAACGTCGACAACCAAAGTAAAATTGCTCTCAAGTTTCTGAAATGGTATGGCGAGAAGAATAACGTTACAATTAGGACAGCACACTCAAAGAATGGGGAGAAGAAAATTGGAAATT